CTTTCCAACTTCCTCCCTCTTCCACCCCGAGAGCCGTGGTCAAGCACCAAATCCTAGTGGCCAGCCCGAGGGCAGGGCACCTCTAGCAGCACCGCGAGGAGTCGGGCTGCGCTCGGGCACGCCCGAGTCGCTAAGACTACCCGACCGGCCCCACGGACGGAGCAGGTTTGCTGCCCGCGCTCGCCCACCGTGTGGCCCCGGTGGTGGAGGAGGAGGAGGTCTTGGTCTCTCGCTGTCCTTGGCTCGGGAGCCTGGCAGGTCTGCAGAGCGATCGCAGACGGGACAGGGACCCGAATGCGTCCGAGAGCGTGAACGCAGCGGCTGCCCCGAACCCTCGGCCTGATGTGCACAAGAAAAGCCGAATCTCATCAATTAGTCCCCAGCACAGCTCTGCAAATCCCCGGCATCGAGCCGCACACCAAAGACCGGCTCCTACCGCTCGACCCGCGACTTCCCGGCCGGGCGCTCAGCTCACACGGCGCAGCGGCCTCGGTTCCCGGGCCGGCGCGGGGAACGCGCGCTGCTTCTCCAGCGGCCCAAGACGCTGCACCACCGCGCGCGCCGCATCACGGTCAGGTCCATAGTTCCACTAAGCACTAGCGGACTCCTGGAGGACATCTCCCCAAAATGTGAACCTGCCTTGGGAGAGGACCCGACCCGCTCCGATCGCCACTTCCCGCCGGGCTACAGGCGGGACTGGGCGTGTGTCTCGGCCAACACGTGCGCGGGAAGCGGGTAGGAGGTGGAACGTGTGGCTCCGGCGCCCGTCATCCACGCGTCCCGCCCCCGCCCGGGGAATCCGGAGGTATTTACCTTGCGTTTCTCAGTCCTAGAGTCAGAGTCAGACATTGGGGGGGCGCGGGCCAGGGGAAGGCGCTGAGTTTGTGGCGGTGGGGACGGGGTGAACCGAACAGCCCCAGGCAATGCTGGCCTCAGGGGGCAGAGCGCGCCAGACGTCTGAGAGGACCCGGCGGCGGCGGTAGCGGCGATACGATCCGAGCGGTCAGAGCTCAAAACCTCCTGGAGGCGGCGCGGAGCG